AATATCCGAGCCACTGCGATCAGCTATGTCTTAGTTGTCCGCGCAGAGAGCCATGCGCCATTGTTTGTGCTTGCCGAAAGGGATCCAAGCTAATGGTCTCACACCGATCTCACCGCTTCCTCCACCCACCGAATAGAAGCCCGTCATTGAGCTTGACAATACGCAAAATCACTGGAAGAAATTTTCGAGTGTTGTGTAATATTGTTCCTGCAACAATGCCTGGATATGGTGGTTCAATGTCAGTGTGTTAGGACAATGAGCGAAGGATAATGAGTGAGAGCCCTCTTGGTCTGAGGTCTGTTTTGCGCACGCCGTAAGATAGAGCGGTTCTTTCGGCTTAGTGTCATTTTTATTTGTGTTTCGAGGTTGCAAATTTTCTCTATTTTTTTGCTTCTATATTATTCATTAGCTTTAATCATTGTAAGCTGTAGAACATTGTGTAAACAGTATACTATTGCATTTTATTAACCATCACAAGAGTGCATCCGATGAATGACTGAAATAACTGACAGCGCAGCGGTATGATCTACGGAAAGTTTGAATTTGTTTGATCATTCACCAATTCACCGAGAGAGAGAGAGAGAAATTCAAACGAAAACTGCCAATTGAATTCCATGCCAATCCGCCATTGATGAATACCACGAGCAATGATCGGCGGACAACAATTGCAAGGTTAAAAGAATGATGGAAGACCGAGAGGTAGACTGGCAAACGGTCAGGCATGTCAATTAGTTGTATGGTGAAGCGGGGATATCGAACAACAAATATAAGGGACGTACAAAGGCGCATCTTTGACATGCCACGAGGGAAATGCGTGACTCCTGCTCAGTGAAATTTGACAACAGGAGTGCCACCATAACACGGCTGGACACCAGGTAACAGCAATAGTATCAAAAACATTACGAACCGGTGATGAATGAGGTTCACACCAGGTTTATGGATTACAGTTTGCGCAAATCGCTGAAAATTATCCAATCCGATCGCAAAGAAAGTCGGAGGGTGAGTTCGCGGGTGGGAGAGATCAGAAGATGTGCAAAGCCGAAGCCCGTTGCCCTCCCTCGGAGTGGCTAGGATATAATGTGATGACTTCAGTGAAAACAGGTTGAGAAACTGGCTTTCTGAGGGATTCATAATAGAAACCTATCCCTCTGCAATATTTTATAAAATAAATAGCTTCTCGGCTACAATTAAGGTCCGAGTGTGTTTATGATTCACTTTATAATACCTGTTGGTATTATAAAGTCTTCGAAATGGTAATGCTCATAATAAGTGCCTCAATTTTTTTCTTATAAGAATGACGAGGTGTAAGATGTAATGACAATACACATATTGCTTGTGTTTTAGGGTCCCACCAATAAAATAAAAGGAAGTCCGAAAGCGAAACCATGTGTTAATACAAAACTAAAACAATGTTACATATTTCATCGAGGAACTTGATAGATTTCTGTTCAGTAACGATGACTCTGGAGAATTTTTCAGTCCATTAAAAATATTTGTAATTTCATGTGAGTTTCGGATATGCCTAATAAAAAGACAGATCATTTGTACCCTATCAGTTTTGCTTTGCTCAGCCGCGATTGGGATAGAGTGTGTCCCATCGATATGATTGTAACAAACGGTTCCATGTCTATCGGTAACCACCGTTTACGGCTCAAGCTTCGGCACTGACAAACGCCCTCAATTAGTGGCTTTGTTTTTATCGGAGGTTTGTTTTACCCCGTGCTCGACAAGAATTTGAGAGCGTGCCTTACATTGGTTGTCTCCCGTCGGCCACCGTTCGGTTATGCTCGCAACTAATACAAAAACAACTTTCTTCAGTGGAAGAACGGTGAAACGACCCCCTAGGTGAATTGCTTTAAATACTGAATAAAGTGGAAATTATTTTTACAATTTGTAGAATTTCTCTTCATCGACGGTGTTTTCAGTGATAATTGAAACCAAACATGATAGATTCTCTTCTTTCGGTATTGATGCAATAAATACCGGGGACTATGTTACGAATTTCATAAACCCGTGAATAATGAAGGGAAACTGCGAATTGAAATACTACGCAATAGTTTATCACCCCACCTGACACACTGGATGATATAATCTGACCACGAATTGCTTTGCCTATTTTTTATCTGATTGCGAAGAATGGTTTGTAATTAACTTTATCGTGACTGAATGCAACTTCTAGAACGCTAACGTCCCAAGAGGACTTTGTTCAAAACGCTGCTGAATTGCGTTTGATGTTATCCGGGAATACGCTCGTGCGAGACACGCTGAATGAGTTACGAGTAAATCCACAGAACACACTCCTGGAACCGTCCACTTTGGACTACGTCAATCTGGTCAATAAAGGTGAATTTTTCACGCTCCAAACCCCAGTGCAACAACCGGGGCAGTCACGCGCTGCGGATGAGAAGCTGATCGAGCATTTCTCCACACTGACACGCAAACTACGTCACATAATGTCATGGTCCTTCATTAAAGATCCCGTGTCGGGTGATTTGTGCTTGAATAGACTGGAAGAGAGTATGGCACGAGGAATCAATATAACGCGGTCAGTTGTGCAACATATTGAGGATTTCATGGCCGGTGCAGCAAAATCGCGAAACGTGGTTGACTTGGTTCAGCGTGCGGTGAGTGGGAATGCGGAGGCAACTCAAGAATTATCAGCTTTGTTGGGCAGTGGACGATGCTCGTATTTGCTCACCACGGTTCAAGAAGCACAAGGTCAAGTCGCGGATCGATTATTACGACATTGTGCAACTGATTGTAAAGTGCGTGCCATTGAAAGTTTGTTAAAAAAGCTAGAATCCAAAGCAGAGGATGAAATTGAGAAGTAAGTAGTATAGTTTTGTACAAAATGTTTTGCAATGTGCTAGACCTAAATAGAACGTCACCTAAACAATTATTTTGACGGTGTGGTGGCACTGAAAAATCAAATAAGTGGTTATTCAACAATCTAACCGATTTAACGTATAAATAACAGCAATATCATTTCAGTGTAGAAAGATATTTTTCATCGATCATAGAACATCGCTGCCATAACAGTATTATTTACGTCTGATAGGACAAACGGAAAAGTAAGGCAGTTGTTAGGGTGAATAGAACTAAGTCGTGGTCACATTCTAGGCTGAGCGGATACCAGTGTTTATTGCGCAAGATATCGAATGTTTACCGACGTTTCCAGTATCTCGAAAAAGTCAAGAAAGTTCATAGAATGACCCGGGGTGAGGTAATGAATCCTGTGATCAACAAACGGTATACCCAAAAGCATTTTTTGCGATCACTCAATCTTCCTACTCCGAAATGTCGACGAGTCCTGAAGCACCCACACAAACGGTAATTGGCTCTTAAGGAAACCTAAATTCAAGTGGGTGTAAAATACGTCCAGTGTCTAAATCAAGGTTAGTGACATATCAAGCCAGAAGACGGAATCGATCTAAGTAATATTCGTGCTAGCGTCCAATGAATGGGGTACTACCTATAAACAAGGGCCAAATCACGATCCCATGGAAAAACCTCAATTTGTGGCGTTCTGCCAGAGAGTCCACTAAACAATCAATGAAATAGAGATACTACCAAGTAAATGGATGCAACAGCGGCTAGGGTCGCCGAAGAAAGCAAACTTACGGGCTCAAAGGAGTAACACCGAGCCAAAAGGGAAGACACAGGACCGGCTGTCATGCCGACAGTCAAATCGGAATACGAGGTAGGAAATATGAGATCATGATAAACGATGATTGTTCAAATTATTGTTTGACAGATTTGAAGTTTGTATGTCGACTGTGAAAAGTTCGCCAGCCTTGATGGGATTCGAACCCACGCATTGATGCCGCCTACACTTTGCACACGCATACTCTACCAGTTGAGCTACGAGGCCACACCGATAGCACTGATCTTTTCACATTCGACTTTACTCATCCAACTTACAGAGGCATGTGACATCCACCAGTTAGTATGTAAGCTGACTGCCCCGACAGGTTTTCCTTAGAATTCACCGGAGTCCACCGAATGAGCTTCTAAGTCAAGGTTAGTTGTTCAAATTGTTGTTTGGCAGATTTGAAGTTTGTATGTCGATTGTGAAAAGTTCAGTAGCCTCGGTGGGACTCGAACCCACGCATGGACGCCACATGCCTCTATAAGTTGGATGGATAAATTCGAATGTGAAAAGGTCAGTGCTATCGGTGTGGCCTCGTAGCTAAGCTGGTAGAGCATGCGCGTACAAAGCGTAGGCGGCGTCCATGCGTGGGTTCAAATCCCACCGATACTACTGAACTTTTCACAGTTGACATACAAATCATGAATGAACGCTTAAGTACAAACTCCATTTGAACTTGTTCAAGAAGGTTTGGCAATAGTTAAAAGAAATTGATCATACGAGGAAGAAATCCATTGAACAGGTGCTGTGTACGTGCGTGCATTTATATATATGAGTCCAAGTAGATATACGGACGAAGGAAGTGATCACCTATCATATCTACAAAAACAAACGGTGAATAGGTCGTTTTAACCAAACCAAGGTGAGAATGAGAAGGAGCGAGCGTGAACACAAGTAATTTATTATATTGCCATGGTAAATTTAATAGTCATAAATAATGATGACCTAAAGTTTGGAACACTGTATCCTCATTCCCTGTAAAACACCCTATCTGTAATTAGTCATGTAATACAGATCTAATCGAAACTTAAGCAACGGGTCCCTGTGAAACACTTGTCGGTTCGTATAGGTAACAGCATTTATACTGAAGTAGATTTTTTTCCAAACAATAATAAACAAGCCTTGGTGAGTCAATATAGCAGCGATTTTCCTGATTCGTTTATACTCAGCAGATGGAATGGTTCAGAATGTAGCGGATACTCCCATTTCGTCAGTAGTGGTTGACCTAGACCATGATGAGTTAAGAGGTAACTAAAGAGAATGGAACAATTTTTTATAATAAATTAACATTGATAATAAGCAAGATGTAAAGTTTGTGTACACTAATAGTCGATTGGTCT